AATTATGGTTGGCTCCGATCCACCTCAGGACCTCATCGATTTCGTCTACTGGTAAAGTATCTACATGACCGCTGTACGTTAACTGCATAGCTAAAACCATAATTTACTTCTGTTTATCTTCAAGCTTATCTCCATTATTGATTTCCAAATAATTCAACCCATGCCTCTTCGAATATGGTTTAAACCATGGACATATTAGATCGGATTACTAGGATCGTTCCACCGGCTCTAGCCCACATTGTGAACGTCAAAATCCTGAAACTATTGTTATTAGAAGCGTGTACCTTTCCAATAGAAGCCATCATTGAAACCGAGCGATTGCTTTTGCTAAGGTGCCTCCGAACTGAGCACGCCTCCAGGGGCATTTACAGCTGGCACCTGATGGCAAAATTATCAGAGATACGATGCATTTTTACTAACAATCTTCTTTTGAACCACAGTTTGGTTTTTAACTTCAATGAATACTTCAGGAAAATATGGTCCAACTGGTCGGCTAAAGGTACCCTCAAGTAGAATGCCCCTTTGTTACGTCAAGTTTCGAAAGATAAACAAAACACGTAGCTTTGCGCAAACAATTGTTTTCGATTACTTCTTCATCAGGCTCATACACTAATATACATTAGGTCAACGTCTGTTGCAATCGTTAGTGTAACAAAGAAACAAGTCATCAGAAAATTTAACTTGTGATCATGATGGCATTCATCTGATCACATGACTGAAGTCAGGTGAATTTGCGGAGTACCATTACTTCCTTCACGGCTGGTGGTCGACCAGGGAAGTTGTAGTGTTTGGATTAGTATCTTCTGAACACACAAGTCCGGATTTGTTAGACGTATGCATATTGCCTCAGCGGTGGCGAGTATGCTTGCTCTTAGACGATGGTTTTGTCTTGATGGTATTTTGTAGAGAATTTGAAAGGCTGTTCCTTTGTCTACCTGGTGGCCTGTGTTTATTAGATGGTTTGTAATCACACTGTAGCTTGTTCTATTCTCGTGGTTGTAGAGCCAACCTGGCAGGTGTTCCTTAGTTCTCTTATCTAGATGCTTGTTCGTCCGTCCAACGTACCTGGCCCCGCACGGGCAAGTGAACCGGTAGATTAACATCGATTGGAGATGATCAGGCACTCGGTCTTTGAATCTCGGAACTAGTAAAGGTCTGCTGGTGAAAATCACATTCAGCTGAGCCGCATTAAAGGTCTTTTTGCAGCTTTGCTGTAGTCGGCGTGTGCATGTCTCAGCCGCACTATTTCCTTTGAATGGAAGTGTCAAGTAAAGCTGTTTCTTTTCAACGGTTTGTTTTGATACTTTTGGTATGCATCGCTTCATATGGGTCTCGATAAATCGCTCCGGATATCCATTTTCGAGAAGCGCCTCTTTGATTCGTACGAGTTCGGCTTTTATGGTATCTTCGCTGCAGATTTTATATGCCCGATCGGTTAGTGTTCCTTTTTGGCTTAGTGGGGCGAACCTATGAAAGTTCATGTATTGTCCCGTCCAATATGGTTTCCTGTATACTTTTCTTTGGATTGATCCATCGGTTCTTCTGATAAGACTTGCGTCCGAAAAATTCATTTGGTTGTTGTTTTCTTCTTCAGCTGTAAATGCGGCATTGGGGTGCGCGTTGTTGAAACAGTCGATTATATCCTGGAGTTTGGTGGTCCTATCACTGATACAAATTATATCATCCATATAGCGCCGATAGAATTTCAGACCGGATATGACCTGTTTTAATGGACCGTTTTCTAACATTTCCATATAAATATCCACTAACAATGGACCAGGCCGGGAGCCCATTGCAATGCCATCAACCTGTCTATAAAACTTGCTATTGAATTGAAATTGAACATTGTACGTACATCTGAGTATCAGTTGTTTCAGTTGGTTGCTTCTTTGTTACACTAACGATTGCAACAGACGTTAACCTAATGTATATTACTGTATGAGCCTGATGAAGAAGTAATCGAAAACAATTGTTTGCTCAAAGCTTCGTGTTTTGTTTATCTTTCGAAACTAAACGTACCCTGTTAGAGCCATGAATTTTAGACGCAGGCATAATACATTTCAACCACTCTTCTCTTGTCCCCGTATCTCTTAGCTCCTATCCGTGATGGATATTCGCCAACCAGCATTGGAAATACTGGTCACTTGGCAGTAAAAAGAATCAGTTCCTCTCTTTTATATCCTTTTATGGCACCTGAAATACACCAATTTGTACTTTATAACGCTGACAAGATACTAGCCACGTGCCAGAGTAGCCCATCTCCTTGGATACCTAAACATCCAGGAATTTTGTCTAACACTATCTCCTGGGCCGCATGTACAATGCATCATGCAGGGTGGACAACCAGCTCCGACTTTTCCATCTACGTTACTACTGCCGGCTTTGACGCCAAAACTGCATCCTATGCGAATTGTCTGGCTTACATTTCTAATACCTGCATCAAACCTGCAGAACAGAAGCCTTGACTTTCCAAGGTTAACCATATTGTGTCCCAACATACAGGACACAATAGCACTTTGATTTTTCAAAAGTGTAGCTCTCACAGCCACATTCGGTGAGGTTATACGCCTGCATTTCTGATATTCATTTACCAATTCTTATCAATAGACCTCTGTAGACTTTCAGCAAAGATGGACCCACACATGTGCTTATTTAAAAAGCTACACGCAAAAATATCACAGTATCTGTCTTGGATATATGAGGCATTGAAAGGCTGAAAGAACTAAAGCAATCCTAAGCCGACTTGAGTAAAGCATACGGATCTTTCTTCTGTGTCTCCGCAGTTATATTCGCAACTACACGGCTTTAACATAATGTGTGGTTTCTAAATTTACGCTACATTGCAACGGTCAGTGTCCTCAAAAAACATCATGAAGTGGCCTTTCGACCAAGTACTTATTACACCGAGTCCAAATCACTTGACTATAAATATAACAATCCCTTATGTTTTCTCAGCGTTTAGCATCAATTTTCTCACATCTTATTCCCTTTATTTTCGCGTACGCTTAGAGAATCTGATTAACGCCTAATAAACACTAGTTCTCTTTAGGTGCATTTTATCTTTTTAGATACGTCCCACTCTTTAGAAACTGCAGCGCTAGCCCATATATTGTTTCCTTTCTTCGCTGTACTTGTTTGCGAAATAAATAGATCACTTTTAGCTTGGAAAAACAACGACGCCATGCGCATTCACTAACTAACTTGCAAACGACTGCCTATTTTTCAGTCATTGTTAATCGCATCAAGCGATCAAAATATACCTTACGGTTTCCCATAATTTTCTATAATCATGCCACATAAATCGGTTTTCTTGTTTCCTTTGTTAGCTCTAGTTTGTGGTGCTCAGCGTCACCTATTAACAGGGAAAATAGAAAACATTCTCTTTTTTAGCTATTCATTGGTTCTTTACGTGGCACAAATAGATCGCACTTTTGTGAATTGTTTCAATTTTATTTACTGTTTATGGAGATCATGGTTAAACTTCTCCCTTTTTAACGCTATTTTCACTGATCGTTTTATAAATCTTGTCTAGAACTATACCCTTATTACTGATGACTGTTCACCTATGATTCAATGGAACAAGGGTACAATAGTATAATACGAATAACAATCAGAGACTGGACATGTCCCGTGGGATGGTTTGCAGCAAAAGCTTTAGTTCAACGCAGTTACACAAAAGAGAAAAACGCATCAGTGGACTCACTATGGCATCCACATGCAAAAAGTACATCCGTCTAGCCCGATTTCGTGAGTTGGTGAGCACGTTGTTTGCCTGCGCCATGTCGTCACTCAATGAATAGAAATTAGCTCAAGTAATGTAGGTGATGTAAGGCTTCGTTGAGTCCTTATTTGGAAATGGATAGCGTGGGCGCGGCAGTGAGTAAATTCAAACGAACATTCCACGATTAACAAATTCGAAAGGGCAAATTAATTCCTGCAGCCTTCCAGCCGACAGTATTGGGTAGCCAGCTTCAACTTATATGACCCCGATATCTGCTTCTTGTATCATACAAATCGGTCTTTTGTAAGTTTGTACTGTTATTATTCAACACCTGACCGATATACAATTGGCAGCGCCATAACACATAGTTAACAACAACAAAAAGGAGAAAACAGATAGACAGTGGAAATGTTTGGTAGGTTTATAAGGTGAATGTATTGTGCGAGCAGAGATCTTCCCGGTTGCCCAGGCCGAGGAAGTTTGTACTGTGACTATGTTTCGCTCGTGACGCAAGATCTTCTTCAGGCCAGATGAATCGGTGCATTATCAGCTTCTGTTATGCCGAACTATGATAAAAATTGTAAGAAATGACACGAGTCAGTAAATAATAATGTTACAGTTCAACGGGGCAGACGGTTATTCCAGTGTTGCAATCAGCGTCGAATAATTCCAATTGATCCGCGTTTCGGATCGTTCACATGTGAGGCAATTTTGTTCCTGCTGTTGCAGATTCATGCTCCGAGCTGAGTGCGTCCGCTGACTCTTTCCATACTGGTCAAGTTAAGACCGCCCGCCACGTGTTTGATAACTCTACCCCATACATTCTGTTTACGCAGCTATTTGCCTTAGTGACTTCCACCGTTGCGGCAATCAACTTTTGACCTGTTTCCCGTATTCCCAGCTTCATGATCTCGATATTGTTCGAGTCTATTTCATGCCCTACCTCTGGCACGTGTACGGTCACCAATAAGTCTCTCAGGTGGGTCCTAAATTCCGGCCCGTTTCTCGGTAGACGAGAAGCATGCCACCTGTTTGGATGTCCCTGTGTGTTGCTCTGTCGCTGTTTAACATGTGTATACGTGTGCACAGTTATTGCAACAGATTATGTAGACGCAATCCGTCGTCTTATCATTCAGAAGTGGATCCTTTAAACGCACCATTGCTGAACGGAGCGTTTGACTCTTTCGGGAAATCACCCTTGTTTACTGTTTCCAGTCAAATTTCACTGCACCGCTGAACTTGTTACGTCTGTCCATCCACCTTTTTTCTTCCTATTCAGGTCGCCTTAAAACAGAAATTGCTCCCGCTCTCCAACACCTTAGTGCTGGTATTATAGCATCGGGCGCGAAGTTGGTTGAATTAGACTTGTCCGACAACGCCTTTGGACCCAATGGAGTTGTAGGCGTGGTCGAATTACTCGCCAGCCCGGCTTGTTTCACACTTCAGGTATTGTAATCAATCTGATCTTCCGACGTATTAGATTTTACGTATGAACAACCAAGGCCTGGGGCACGATGGCTGCCGCTATCTCACTAAAGCACTTCAGGATGGCCGAGAAGCATGTCGTAAACGCGGGCTCTTGTTAAAGGTGTTCTCTGGTGGTCGAAATCGTTTGGAAAACGTCGGCATACAAATGCTTTCAGAGGTTCTCGCAGACATGGGAACTTTGGAAGAGGTAAGCGTACCTTACCAAATCTCGCTTAATATTTATCGTCGCAGATCTCTTTGTATCAGAACGGAATCGGTATACATGGAGTTGATGGGGTCTACTCTTTGGTGAATATCCTCAAGCGGAATCGAAATCTCCGTCTAGTCAACATTTCAGACAACAATATAACTCCGAAGGGTGGTGAAGCGATAGCCAAGGCATTGAGGACACTGGAGAACCTTGAAGTGAGTGCATGTTCCTTGTGATTTTGCACCATGTTTCTTTCGCTCACATTCCGTGCCGTCTGTACACATACCCACTTTGTCTGTGCTTGTGTCTGGATGGCGAATACGCGCGTTCGAATGCAGTGCCGCACAAAGGTATCTCCCCTTTCGAACCTGGGTCAAAATAAATTCTTGGGACATCGCAGCCATTTGCTCCAGCATTTTCCCACGGCGGAACCCTTATCGCACACCTAACTTCTTCATTTATCAGAACAAATGTTAGCGAACAAGCTCGTTTTCAGTGGTTCCTCATCAGGCTAATACACCACAAATGAATGACATGAAGCGTAAACATCAATTAAGAGTACAGGTTCAACACCCAGATGGTCTGAGTGACCAAGCTAGGCGATTGGCCACACGGCGATCAACAGTTTGTTTGTGTGTGTGTGGCGTTGTCCTTCAGGGGATATTTTATCAGTTGAAACAGACCAAGGATCCCACTGTGCTTAAAGGGCTTAACCAGTACGTTAAGTTCCGTACAAAACTTGCGGTAGCGAAGGCGAGTATTCAGTTCTTTGATGAGTGTATTTTGTGTTGTGAATATCCGAAACCTTTTTGGAAAATACTGAGACGGAATAGGATTAATCCTACTAATACTGCACTGAAGCGTCATGCATTAAACGAACGTGACACGATTGCCTCTAGACTTGATGATTTGGAGCGTAATCAATGCGTTTACTCTCTCATGCTGGACCATCTGAATGGGGAGGAACTCACGCGATTCGAAGCATTTGTTCAACGTGTAGTCGCAAAGCAAGTTGACGGGCGAGTAATCTCAATGCGTCAGCAGATTGGCACAACTAAGGCTAACACGCCCTTCCCATCCGACCCGGAAAGGTATGTCCACAATTTTTCCTCTTTACATCTGGATAAGACACTACTTGAGGCACTTTCACTTGGTCCGAAATTTTGTTGTCCTCGTAATAATACCAGTCAGCTAGAACTAGAAGTCCAGTTCGAAAATGCACATTCCCAAGTAGCTATGCTTACACCCTCATCAGCATTAGCTGCTGAGCATTTTAAATCCACCATGGTCAATACATGCTACCAGTACCTGAAGCACAAACCTAAGGTCAGGTATTTACTGACGAACGCGCATTTAGATGCCCTCAAAACGCTTAAACGGAACGAACATGTGCTGCTCTCTAGGCCGGATAAAGGAGCAGGGATTGTCCTTATGGATAAATCTGACTATATCACTAAGATGAATGCCATCCTCAACGATCATTCAAAATTCCGGATGATGGAGACAGAGAAAGACAAAACGGCCTCGATAGAAAAGACAGTCACAAAGCTACTACGCCGCCTGAAGCAAGAGAATGCGATTGACTCAGTGGTTTTCGAGTACACGCGTCCCTCCGGGACAGTGATTCCACGTCTTTATGGCTTACCTAAAGTGCATAAAGAAGGACTTCCATTGAGGCCGATATTAGACATGTGTGATTCTCCATATCACTCAACAGCAAAATGGCTCGCTAAGCTTCTAGAACCTATCAGAAAAGTCCTAGCCAAACACAGCCTCAGAGATACATTCAGCTTCGTAGACTCCATAAGCCATATGCAGTTAATCGGAAGGAAAATGTTTTCTCTAGACGTAGTGTCGCTTTTCACTAATGTTCCGTTGGAGGAGACGATAGACTACCTTTGCGACGCTGTTCGATTACACCATGTGGATGTCGGCCTCTCGAACGCGCGACTTAAACAGTTGCTTCTGATGTGTACCAGAAACGTACAATTTCTGTTCGACGGCAAGATCTACAGACAGAAGGACGGAGTCGCAATGGGCTCTCCGTTAGGACCATTGCTAGCAGACGTATTTATGAGTAAATTAGAGAACAACTATCTAAACGGAGTTATCGACAAATTAGTCTACTACGGACGGTATGTGGACGATATATTCTGCATCTCAGAGAGTCATTTATGCACGGATGAATTAGTGAGGCAATTTAACTCAGCCCACGCAAACATAAAATTCACCCTTGAATCTGAGTGCAACAACTCAATGTCGTACTTAGATGTTCAGCTTAGCCGAAGATCTGACGGGTCGGTCCAGCGCAGTGTCCATAGAAAGACAACGTGGAATGGGCAATACACTCACTTTGCCAGCTTCGTCCCGCTCAGCCAGAAACGTAAACTTGTTCGGTGCCTAACCGAGCGAGCAAGAAGGATATGTAGCGAAGATATGCTTGCGGATGAGCTAAACTTTGTACGAAGCATATTCGATAGAAATGGCTATCCTGAGAGGTTCGTTCGGCGAAACATGGAGGTACGAGAAGCGAAGGTGAAAGTGGATTCAGTAGGAAAGAAACCGATCTACTTATCGTTACCGTTCAAGGGGGACGGAATAGCTGAATCAACGTCTAGAAAGCTTTCTGCCGCAGTCGCCCAAACGTACTATGCAGCAAGCCTACGGCTGAGCTTCTACTCAGTGCCGACCCTGAATCAACAACTTAAGGACAGAATTCCAAGGTCTAGTACTTCATTCTGTGTATACTCTTTCTCTTGCTCGTGTCGAGCAAGATATATCGGAAGAACTACCAGGAGACTGTCCGAGAGTGCCAGGGAACACTGTCCAGCTTGGCTGTATAGCGGCGTGTCTAGACCAGTGGCTAGCGCAGTGTCTACACACTTGATCGACTCGAGCCATCAAGTCAGAGCGCATGAGGCGTTCCAGCCCATCTATCGCGTACCCAGATGTCACACAAGAGCGGTTAGATGTCGTATACTGGCAGCGGCCGAGGCGATAGCCATCAGACTTCATGACCCTGACCTATGTGCGCACAAGAAATTTGTCCAGGCACTAACTCTACCCTGGTCCCCTGTAACACGGACACACAGTGTGGACAACGCCACACACACACAAACAAACTGTTGATCGCCGTGTGGCCAATCGCCTAGCTTGGTCACTCAGACCATCTGGGTGTTGAACCTGTACTCTTAATTGATGTTTACGCTTCATGTCATTCATTTGTGGTGTATTAGCCTGATGAGGAACCACTGAAAACGAGCTTGTTCGCTAACATTTGTTCTGATGTCTACTCCCGGGATATTTTATCAGTTCTTCATTTATGCTTTACGATTCCAGGAATAGAGCTGAAGTGGCACTCACTCCTAGTTGCACAGGTGAGAGCCAATTGCGCGTAGTTCATGGGGCAAAAATCTGTTTAGTGTGTCTGTGTGTATCAGGGAACTGATCCGGCCACTTTCTAGTCCATCTTTTATTGAAAATACTACAATAACTTTTGTTGACATTCAAAATCCCTTGCTAAAGTGGCCCGCTGTGGTGGTCAATGTTTCTTGCTAGTTACAGTCGCAGTTTTTTTTTGAACGAATGCTGGTTCGCCTATATAAACCGCCCGATAGATTAAATTTGTCACAATAATTATGCCAACGTCTGGTGCATGCGTTTTATGACCTCTATCTCTTTATGCGCCCATGTTGTTTACTTACAAAATGTCCTTTTTAAAGTTGGACTTGGAGAATCCGCTGGTGGTTGGGTTGCTACAAGCAACCTCTATTGAGGCCTCGGTTCACTTGAGGTGGACCTCGGTCATTCCGATCACAAAGACCGTAAGCAAAATGCAAACATTATAGTGTTGCTCATCCCAACACTGGCACCCCAAGACCGCGGTTTCGTCCTGGTTGGGACTCATCAGTTGGAGATGGCCTGAGTTGGGCTGGAACTCAGAGCCTAGTGGCTCATGGTTGACGCCATAAGCACTATGCCACTGAGATCCGCGAGCAAGGCTGTCCCTCTAGGAATACTTTCTTTGGCACTATCGGTGTTCTGTTCCATGTTTCTTGTTCGTTTAAACGTCTCACTGTTTCCTTTGCGTCGTTCAAGTCCCTGGCTAGCAGTGTGTTGTCTTTTATTTTCCCATTCAACCGGTTTTAACTCACCGTTCTCCTACTGTGTTGTTTTTTTCCTCCTATATAGTGGGTTCACGCAAACATTTGTTTGCTCTATATCACCGTGTATTACTCAAAAGCTTGTTATGGACTCCTCTTTACGTTTTCTCGCTTTGTCTAATTTATCACTCACGGATTCTATGCTTCAGGAGCTGTACTTAAACGACTGTATCCTTCGTTCAACCGGATGCCAATCGTTATCAAGCGTCCTAGGCGATCCGGATGTAACGCCGAATCTTCGCGTTCTGAACTTAACCGGAAATGAGATCAATCGTAGCGCTGCTATCAGTCTCATCCTGTCTCTCGGCAGCAAAACCAGATTGGAGGCACTTGATTTGAATGCGAATGAGTTCGGTAAAGCTGGCATACAGGCTATCCTTTCCACTTTGGAATCGGTCGGTCTATCACACACCCTGCCCAAATCAGGCAATGGATCTCGGACTGAGGATTCAGTTTGTGGCGAATCTTACATAGGCGCATTTGACGATGATCAAGGTTCTGCCACGGAAGAAGAGGGTGAAGGGGAGGAAGAAGAAAATGACACCGGGGAACGTCGAAGGAACGGCAGCGTCGATAGTGAAGAGGAGGAGGAAGAAGAGTACGGTTATGATCACGGGGAGAGCGAATATGATGCGGATGCTTCTTTCAATACCGTTGAAGAGCACCCTATTTCAAAGCCTGGTAAGCCCTCAGGTTTGTTCATGAGATCTTTTGGGACTGCTTATCCACACAATTTCTGTTGAATCTGGAATTTATATTGTCAGGGTTGCGCTCTAACGAACTACTATCAGACGCACAGCAAAGTCTTGTGTCATTCCAGGACTAGATCAAAATCGGATACCGCTAATCTAGAGCTTTATTCACGCTGTGTTCTTTGCCTCGCGACTCTATTACCTGTAAGTTATAAGTATCTTGTCACATTTCACTGGTCGTGGCTAGCTTTGTCCAATTACTCAGAGTCGCACCATACTCATATTATACCTTCAAAAACGGATCGCATCTTGGGTTCAAATCATGTATTGTTGAGGGTCCCATGGCACTTTGATGCTGTCTTTCACCATGTACACCACAGCTGCAAAATTGCGCCTCTGATAGTGTAGTTGCTTGTCTGCTAATTTTACTTGTTGGTTAACTAGTAACTGCACTCTCTTTAGTCATGTATCTGCTTTGGAGCGAGTCGTAGAGTAAGCTGTAAAGCGCGATTGCCTTAGCTTATTCTACACCGGTATCTTGCTTGTCTCGGCCGACTTTGATTTCAAAGGGGTAGTTAGAGGAGTTGCGTGCTACAGGTAGAAGTTCATCACATTTAGACTCAGTCAGACGGTCATCATACGCCCGGCAAAGCACTGTACGGCCGTTTTCTCCTTTCGGGCTCGAACCCGCAACTCGACTGTTACCAGTCTGTGGTTGCTACCACTTTTAACGCCATAACTCAAATGGCCGCTTAAGTTTGATAAGTTCGTCGCTTGGTGTGGGGGCTACCCTGTCCCCTGCACGGCAGTAACGTGTGAGTAAGTGAATAGTGAGCGTCGCTATATCGCATCTAGTAACTTAGTCACGGTAGTCGTTGCCGTCCTGCGTAGCTCAGTGATCTCAACCACAGATTGGCAATAGTCGAGTTGCGGGTTTGAGCTTTACAAGGGGCAAATGGAATGTGCACTGCTGACGATTTCCGAAGGCACGAAACTACCGCACAGTACCTTTCCGGTCGGGTTATCTGTCTGACCGAGTCTAGATGCTGCACTGATGCCGTAGTGTCCCGTTTCGTGACTTTTAGCATACGGTTTGCTCAGAGAGAATATGTTGCACCGTTTTCATTTCAGTGACGCCCAGCTTATTATGGACACACTGTCACTGTTCAAAAGCTCGTTGCATACAGTGGGAGGAGAATTTGGCCTAGGTCGTAGTCATTATCGATTGTTTTCATCATTTACCGTGACTGTTGTGCGTGAGTTTTTTCTTTCGGAACTCTCGCATCTCACAGTGTTTAGTGAATAACATTCCTGCGCAATCGCTTGGATGCTGTGATAAAGATTCAATCTTTTTTTGTATTTTTACAGATGCTACCTTCAGTTTTCGTGAGCTACATGCTGCTTTAGGTAGAGAAGCATGTACCGTTTCTGCCTCACAGCAGCCCACGGCACCACCTAAACCGGGTCCATTCGGTGGGGGGTTGTTTTCTATATTCACGAAAGACCAAACAGATGCCGACGCCATCCGCTCCAAATTCAATTTCTCATCTCCGGCGATGGGACTCTTCGCCCCACCTGCAAACTCCAGACCAACTTCAACCCCGAGCACCTTGTTTTCACCCTCACTTTTATCCTCGGCTCTCCCAAATGGAGGTGCTACTACTGTCCAACTCCATACCGAGTCAGCTGACCTCAGTGAGCTGACATCTCAATTGCGGCTCTGTTTGCACTCCAAGGACACATCCTCTATCGATCGTCTAATTAGTAAGTTCCTTTTTTAAGATACCTATTTCATTGAAACGAAGTATTGCTGTCTGTTCGCGCTACCGATTACTGCAAATGTCATGTCGATCGCGTTTTCCATCTTCATGTACTTGCTGTATGCCGCTTGAGTGCTTTTATCCAATCAGATGATCAGTCTTTTTCTCGGTTATTCCAACAGCTAATTCGTACGCAAATTCGATCGATCGCATTATGCGTACATGGAAGGCACAAATCACTGATTGTGTGAACGTTTTTCTGCTTTTTCCCCTCAAAAAATACGTCTTTCTACCATCCTCCCTCCATGTTGTAAGCTGCTAGTGGAATTCCGTTTACGGCATAGGCTCGAATTCGCGCTGCTCAGCGCTAATCTTCAAGTATAAGAGTACATCCCATGGGGGAGTACATCCCATGGGGGCATTTTCAGCAATTCGCACGAAAACCCCCCATGTACTGCAAGATAACGCCGGTGGAAAAAAGTACACAAGGATAGGGAAAAACGAAAAGTGTATTTTCGCCCAAGAAAACAGTCTCATGGCTGGTGCATCATGGCTTTTGGGGATCGGCTAGCAAGTGAGACACATGAGGCAAGGTGGATTTTCGTTACCTTCAGATGCGAAAAATAATAACACCTTAAATTTCGACCGCGTAAAACAAATAGGTACCGTACTGGCTACAGCAGTGTAAGAAGTGAGAGAGATCGTTTAGTATAGAAGCTGAAAAATTGAAACATGCATCAAAATGCTTGCTAACTACTAACTCAACTAGGGATTGTTTATTTACTAAGGAGCATCGGGAATTAAATGTTGGTGCGTGCACAAATGTAATCTTTTTGAAGAAATCTGTGGAACTTAACGGGTAACAGTATGATCAAAGTGTCCATGCAGTTGTGAACGTTGCAATTAGTGCACGGGATTTGGAAAACATTTTGAGCCGGAGAGCGTAATCACATTACTCTTTGGGTAAATTGCAACACAAGGAAACACCGAGATACTTAGCGGTAAAAGAATACCGGATGCTTTGGTCACCCATGATCGAACGAGGGGAGATATTTACGGGGAAACGCAATCTTTCGGTGCGCAGAAAAGAGTACTTGACCTGGTAGCATTTGAGAGCATTAAGAGAGGGTGACCAGGAGCTTAACCAGGTCAATAGTTCGCCAAATCCTTATCGGAATTACACATTTTGTATATATTAAAACGTCATCAACGTTTTTGCATCCCCGGAAACAGGATGGTATGTGCAGACTCAACGTTGAGGAACAATAGCAAGTGGAGTAAATCTACGTCGACTGTTCGCATATATATATATATATATATATATATATATATATAATTTGTGTACCCCGTTTACTTGCAACCGCTCTTCTTTTTACCCTTTATTTAGGCTTGATCGGTAAAGTTGCTCCTTCGGAGCGCTCTTTCCCTCATGCGAAAATTCGGACATGCGTACAGTTCGCTTCACTCGAAGATGTGGTTCGTCTGGGCCTTCGGTTGAGTTGCCGTCTCCCATATCCACTCCCCCTACCCGGTGACTCTCTTTCTCACGTGGCTGTCGGTCTTTTGGCCTCTGCTCTGGCCCGAAATTCGGCTGAGAAAACGACGGCCGAACAAATGGATAGTCAGACAAATCAGGCTGTGACCTGCTTGTTGGTGCACCTAGGTGCAATCAAACCGGAGAAGGAAAGTGACGACTACCATTTTCTTACGTCTGAGAGCCCTACTGCGCGCAGTCTACGTCACACAAAGCATCTGCATGTTACTCGTCAGGTGTTTCGTACCTACAAATCACAGTTCTCGCCGTATGTGTGCAGCTGTCTGTCATTGCTGCTATCGGAGCAACAGAACAAAGAAAACCGCTCTGATGCAGCTCCTTCTGATAATCAAGCTAGCAAGTTAAGAGACGAGCTCCTCACTGACCTGGAGGACCTGCTGACAAACGTGCACATTTAACAGTCTCTTACCGGGTCTGATCTTACCACTTCTCATACACCCAGTGTTCATTTCGAAAGATTCCTGCTTGTACATGAATATTATATGCTTCTTTTTCTCAGCATGAATCTCCAACTCCTCAGATTCGATTATGCATCTTTGTATGCTGCCAATTGCCAGAGATCCAAGATAATTTTATGGCTTTTATCTCCATATTCTCACACGTTTTCATCCGTAATAATTGTTTCTCAGCCGCGGGCGACGAACCAGACCCATTTACCCTATTTCGTGCACCTGCATCTGAGCTCGGTTACAATTTTGGCGATTTTCAAGCCTAGAAATCAGTTCAGGGTTAAGAATTCTTTTCGGTAAACTCTCTTCAGACCCAAATGTTCGTGCTCTGCGAATCTGAAAAGCATGCAGAACAGTTGCTGAAGGCCTTTAATGACGCATATGAGAATCTACGCTTCACCTATGAGCACAAAAATGGAAACGGTTTACCTTTTTTGGATGTAGAAGTCATCTGCAACTCGTACGACTCATGTAGCAGAAAGGTACACAGAAAGTATACGTGCATTGGACAGTACACGAACTTTCACAGTGCAGTGCCTTTACAGCACAAGAGGAGTTTAATCCGATCTCTTGCCTTCAGGGCACGCATTATTTGCACTCCGGATACCGTCAACGAAGAGCTACAGAGAATCAGCGACGCCCTTCGTGAAAATGGTTACCCCGATAAGTTTATCATGAAGCATCTGAGAGAACGAAAGCGAAAGCCACCTAAGAGCATTGCTCCCAAGAAAGAGCTGTTCATACACATGCCATTTAAGGGCGATACTGAAGCTGATGTCTTATCTCGACGTCTGAAAGATGCTGTTGAGAAAACTTGTTTCGCAGCCCACGTGAGAATTGTTTACCACAACAAGCCATTGCTTGCAAAACCCTTGAAAGATAGTCTGCCATCTTTGGCCCCTTCAGTGCTCGTTTATCAGTACTCGTGCTCCTGTGGTGCATGATCCGTGGGTCGCACAATGAGACGTCCTTCCCAGAGGATTCGCGAGCACATCCCGGCGTGGTTTTACAAAGGCGAAATGAGATCCTCAGACAGCTCAATCATGTCCCACCTCCTCGGAAGTGGCCATACTGCATCTGAGAATGACTTTAAAGTCATCTACTCACTACCTGAGCGCTTCTCGCAACTCTTCCGAAAGCAAATCTTGTCTATTGCCGAGGCTATTTACATCATCCATCTGAAGCCGGAATTATGTGTACATAAACGATCCATACGGCCGGTACTACCACCGTGGCCGACTGACATGGTTACCATATTCCCTTTGTAACCTTACCTATTTACTTTAGGCTACTGAGGCTTGTGTATTAAGTTTCCTTTGGTGCACTTTTCTTGCCATATGTAACCGTCATCGATCTTGACCGTTCAAACACCTTCGAAATCAATCCCAGCCCAATTTGACGCTTACCCCAAACAATCAGTGTTAAGTAAACGTTTGGGTCTGAAAAGAGACTACCGAAAAGAATTCTTATCCCTGAACTAATTTCTGGTCTTGATTCATCTGAATGCAATGGGAATCTTTGCTTTGCTGAACATTGTCCGTGAGCATTGTCCGTGATTCCTTGAAGATTTTCAAGTCTTCCACCACGCTACAGTACTCCCTTTCATGGATGACCGACTGGGTTGTGTCTAAATTGCTGAATTTCACCATCTTCATGCTCTACGAATCACCGATTGCTTCCCACTCGGGTTCCCAGGAATCTTGGTACTTAATGTAGTTTCTTCCTTTGCGACATCTCTTAACCCTTTTGTCAGCTCCCTTCTTTCGCACTATGTCAACGACGTTCGCTATGGATGTCTCATCGCACCCATTCACAGTATCGCATCAGTATAAGGATATAAGCTTGAAGAGGACAATTGTTTTCGATGTATTCTCCGGGTTACTACAGAAATACACATTGTGCAAAGTTTAGAAGTTACAGAGATTGACTATTACTTAAATAAAATTAAACGGTTATCGTAACACGCTTCAGGTGACCAATAGAATAAAACCACATGACGCCGTCGAGGGAGATCCGACTCATCTCAGTTGGCTACTAGCCCATTTAGTTGCATTGTGTTGACGAGCTTTTCTGAATGCATAGATTCGGTTTTGTCAATCTGATGCAGCTGGAGCAGCTGTGCTCCTGACAGGCGATTGGGTTGCAGCAGTATTCTATACCTTTTCTCAGCTAATTGCATCCATAGTGCTTTCAAATTCCTCCTTAGGGAAATTGTGTTCCTCCAGAGATCTTTTAAGGTGGTCCATAACGCTTTTAAGTTGAATCCAGCGGGGACGAACGCTCCTAAATGCTACGGTCCAAGTCAGACAATATCATCCCATTCTGTGCGGTCATCTGTTATAATATCTGCATATTTGAGATTGGTCACTCAACAAATAATACGTAATTTTTTTGAGTGTTTGCGCCCGCTGGCTTCAACTTGAAAGCATTATAGACCATCTTGAAAGATCTGTGAAGGAACATGATTTCTTTAAGGAGGAATTTGAAAGCGCTATATATTCAATTGGATGAGAAATGGTATATACAAACCAGTTATTGCACTCAAATTGGCTCTGTCCCGCTGATTGTTTATTCGCTTTTACAAGTGCCTGGTCATGCGCTCCGTGCATCTAGCTCCACCGGAGCAGGTGAACCAGTAGATAACCATTGATTGGAGTTGGGCAGTCACTATATCTGAATCTAGGGACAATCTACTCGCAAAGACGACGTTAATTTGCATTGTGTTAAGAATACGTGGGTACTGATTTCTTGGGACATATTTCCCAGTCCTGCGTATCGGACGATGTTCAGCAGTAGTAGAAGCATCTTGCTCGATGTTCACCGAGGCGAGCGGAGTTCGGCATGTCAGCTTATTCTTTGTCACCAAATCTTGCAGTTCACCGAAAAACAAACCGAATCCGCTATTCATGAACCACTACACCCTGCATAAATCCGAAACGCTATTCTGCTGTGACAACACTTCATTGACTATGTCATCTGCCCTTGTTTGCTGGCCGGCTTACGCTGCCCGTCGTTTATGATCGATCCAACTGACGTTTGCTCTCTCTGACGCCGTGTCGAGTTTGCTTCATACAAGATCGTGTAATTCTGATCAAATCTCATATGTGACATCAGATTTACTTTTTGTCCGCTAGTCTTGAATCGACCTCGTCCGCTCAGCTTGCTAAGTGCCATTGCACCCCTGTCGTCACTTTGGTTTCGTAGGCACGCTGATGCTCGGGCTCACCTACTTCCTGCTCTCCCCACTACTCTACGTTCTCGTCAGGCCGTACCAGCTCCGCTTCATCCCTCTGGTTCGTGCGATTGCAGTCAGCTCGCGTGGGTGGCGTTCATTGGTTTTCTGTTCACCGCCCACTTGAACTATCAGTTAATATCACATCTATCCCTTTTGCTTTTGTGTTCGAGTGGTATTGTGATCTGCTTCACACCGTTCTACGCTGCATGTGATCCTAAGGTCTTACACACTGGTGACGAACAACTGTTCCCACCGATGCTGACCCTCATGTTAAAGGGTCCGCCCATGCCTCGTTTTCTTCTGAACTGTACTTGCTTCCATCGATGTTATTTTTTATCCCGACTTCTTAGCTTCTCTTTGCTCTACGGTCTTCAATCACTCCCTTCCAGCACCCATCAGTTCCTGGCATTGGTTGTATCCACGCTTTATATCTCACATCCGTGATTGGTAGTTGTCTCATCCGCTATAATATGTTTCTTTTGCCGGGACATCCTATTTCTCGGGCGGCTTCATTGTAAGACGGTTGACGTTCTCCATAGTTACCGTAGAACCTTCACCGTCGTCATTCTGAACATTTGGTGGAAGTGAGTAAAGGCTTCAGCTGTGTCGCAGTCCAAATCCGTCAGCTTGTCGTAAAAGTAAATTAGGAACGAGATAGCAGAACAAATAAACGATACCTGGTATTAACTATGCAGTATGAATGAGATCATGCTTAGAAGCGGTCGCTAAACGGGATGCGGGACAAAGGACAAAGAAATCTAACAAACGCCACGGAGGTTGGCCCTTCACATTATCAACAAACGTCCCCAACCAAACATCATTTGGACCCCACTTGGAGGTCGGGAGGCATAAATGTGGATCAAGTTCTAGGTCGGACCCCTCATTGTTCCTGACCAAGTCATCGGCTGGCCCTCTCTCCTTCCAGATTCTTGTGTCGTGCAAATAACAGTCGACCTGCTGATATACGCAATGCATGATTCATTCATCGGAATCTAGTCAGGGAAATAACGGAGCTGAGGGGCTCACTTGCTTTTCCTGCGCCATAAACAAGGCGATGAACACGCTCATCACTCACGCGGTATCCCTACCAAGCTTGCACCGGTGATCGAACGCAACTAGTCTCTGTCGTGATAGCCCTCCTAGAGTCGGAAACAAAGTCTGGGCCTCGACCGAAATCCTGCTATTCGATAAACAACAAGGTCGTTTTATATATCACATGGATTTGAATCACTCACAATGTGGCACATCTCTCCTTGCTATCGCTTTCATGGCTGGCGCTCCAACTTTATTCACGTCAGTTCAGATTAATTATATTCTATCCAACTATCCCGTGTCATCATCACCAGGTTGTATTAGCGGCTGTCAGTTAGCTTTGAAGCCACTGGTTTCATTTTTGATCAACTCGCCCGTTTGATCCGCCGCCACCATGCTCCGCACGATGTCTGACTGCCACCACAATCTCCTTATGTTTGTCGATCTGATGCTTCTAGTTTCACAACCGTACAGGCATCATAAATAGTGAAAATTAACTCTAGGGTCTCTGACCCCATTTTCTATTTCACAGGCGCTGTTATATCTGCTCATCATAGTATTTCTAAACAATTTCTAGCTGGTCCCCACTGCAAGTCGGCTTATAAGTTGGCGTTGCCAATCCTGGACGAATCGGTTGACACCCTGTACTTGGTAGATTTGTGAGCTGTCACTTCGTCGATGGTGTGTTTGAGAAGGGAAGGTTACAGTAGGCATTCCTGTTACACACCGCTGGAGAATCTGTAGGGCAGCGGCTGCTTGCTATATGCTCTCACTCTGCCCAAACTGCGCGCGCAAAACACTTATAATACTTATGTATTTCTCGGGCACACGTTTCTTGATCGGATAGTCCCAAAGAACGCATCGAACC